TATCTGAAAACAAGTGCTCCACTTACCAAGCCCCAGATGGCACCAGGAGAGGTAGCTATGATTGTAGCTGCTCTGGGTGTGTTGTACATTAAGGCCAACTCACCAAAACATCCTCTGTTATCATAGGTTCCAACACACCTCCCAACACCGTCGCATTTTACATAAATATCATATGTACCTCTGTTAATAAAATACATAAATACAGTGAGCACAATCCAGCCCTGGTCTTTGCTGAGCAGCCTCTCACTGTATTAACACCATGAACTCCAAAGAAAAAGCATTTGAAATACACATTCCCTTGTTTAAATGGTATTGAACACCTTGTTTGATATGTTTATAAAGATAGGCTGGATGTACAGTGACCTGTTGATCACCAGAACTTATTAAAAATTAAGATTTAACTTGGTATCTATTTCATTTCAGCCACGCTGAATACAAATGTCACAAGCCTTTGCAAAAATTGCTATGATAGACTAGATAGTAATACAAGTTATTTAACATTTTAAATAGTCTAAAGTAGCAATTTCTAATGAAATGAATAACAGAGATGCAGGAAACAGAAGGAATGTATGAAGAGCAACATAAGATTATGACATAAATATATGCATTTGTCTAATATATTGTGCATTTCTTCTCCCCATCATTTAATTAGTAACTTTGGGGTTTTTTGCTTTGGGAATGCAGTAAAATCTGGTGTACTGTAAAACATGATGCCACCCCCGTTGATGATGAGCCATCATTTTGTTCAGTGCTGAATATCTGTATGGGGTGTGTTGGTAAATCATGTGAATGTAATGCAAAAATCTGTGCAATGACTTCATTGATAAGGGACTTAGAGGTGATTCACTGCACCTAAGAACTGCAAGGCTGACAGAATATTGTCAAGTCCCTGCAGCTTTCTGGATAAGATGACAAACTGTAATACTCTTTCCAGTACAGAATCCTGACACAATTCTAAGATCTTCTGATTAATGTTTCAGTTAGAAGGGACCTACAACAATCATCTAGTCCAACTACCTGAGCACTTCAGGGCTGCCCGAAAGTTAAAGGATGTCATTAGAAGAATTGTCCCAATGTTTCTTAAATACTGATGGGCTTGGAGCATTGGCCACTTTTCTAGGAAGCCTGTTCTGGTGTTTGACCACCCAGCTGGTAGGAAAATGATTCCTAATGTTGAGTTTGAACCTTCCCTGGCACAGATTTGAACCAGTCCCATGAGTGCTATTACTGGATACCAGGAGAAAAGCTCAGCATCTCCCTCTCCCCTTCCTCAGGAAGATGTAGGGAACAATGAAGTCACCTCTCAGCCTCCTTTTCTCCAAACTAGACAAAACCCAGAGTCCCCAGCCACTCTTCACAGGACATGCCTTCCAGCCCTCTCACCAAATTTCTTGCCCTCCTCTGGACACACTGAAGTAACTTCACACCCTTCTTAAACTGTGGGGCCCAGAACTCCACATGGTGTTCAAGGTGAGGACACACCAATGCTGAATGGAAAATCACATCTTTTGACCAGCTTGCTGTACTGACCTACACTGATTAAAAGCCTCTGCATTTATTCTAGAGTTCTATCTTTTAGATACTTTTCCAGCATAATATTTCTTTCAAAGACACTCAGAAATCACTGTGTTAGCCTAAACTACAGGTACAAATAAGAGAAAGTTTTTTAGGACAGCCTGGTTGGAGCCTGTGCCAACAGACTAGTGAAGGATGCCAAAATAAATGCTCTTCCTAAGTCACTGATTTCAACAGTAATCATTAGCTAGGATTTTACTTAGTTACCTGCTTTGTCTGGTATAGTTCTCCAAATGAAAAGTAAAGACTTAGCAACTCAAGGTCTAATAATCATGTGAGCAAGAAGTTTATAGGTAGTACTGAAATGCAGTAAGATTTCAAATACTGAGCTGTAAAAGTTTTCCTACTGTGCTTTGTGTTAGATCTCTTTCCAGGTAAAACCAAAGCCCTGGAATTGGGATTGGGCAATGCACAACATATTTCTGTGTGGAAAAATTTGCCTCCTTTTGGAAACTGCTCCCCACAGCTCAGACAGAGCTGTACTGCTTCGTGGGTGCTCTTTGTTTTCCTCTCATGCAAATATATGTAAGGGTTCAATACAAGTTCACAGAATACAGATTTTTCTCAATGGACTTTTGCATAACACTTTGTGCTATAATAAGACACAGCAATTCACCTATCGATGACGTAGAAGTTGTCACCATCATCCCCTTGATCGATTACGTGTTCTCCACCTTCAACCAGCTTTTCAAACATCGCATCTAACACCTGAGACATCTGTTCCTGTTTGAAAAGAACACAAAGACAAGAAATTATCATCTGCTTTTAGAACTTTACTCCTCAAATTAACCAACTGTCCAGCTTCTACCCATATGCAGATGAAAAATGTTAGCGGATGGAAAATATTCACACCACAGAAATGGTCAAGAGTTTTATTTAGTATTCAGTGTTAGTTTCTTCCTTTTCCACTGTTCATAGCTTCTCTTGTCCCTGAAAATGATAAAATAGATCTTCCCTGCAATATAAAGTGCTCATGACCATCCAAAGACAGAATTTCACCCTTCACAACTGAGTAGCATTATATTGTTGAAAGAAAAAACTCTCTCCCTTATTGCAAATGATACACAGACCTGATTTTGTGTTTAGAACTATCTTACAGACTTTAAAGCTTCAAAATGATTGCAAAGTATTTTAAAAATCTCAATTATACAATGCCTGCAGAATGGTTGGCCAGATGTAACCATAAAGGTCTGCAGTGCTTTGGTCGAGTAAGTAAATGCTGGACTTGTTGGGAAGTAGGAATTTACACATGGCTACAAAACTTATTTTGTTAATTTGAATGGAATACAAATGTTTAGAGAGAAATGTTAACAGACTAACAAAATGTAATCATCTGAATTATGACTGTCTAATAACAAAACCAAATCACTAATTACATAATTTGCCTTGCTTGGTGTGCATCTGCTAAAACTTGACTATTGCACGTCAAAAAATCCAAACACAGCTCATTGCACATTAACAAGATGAAGCCTAAAAAGATAACTTAAAAATCTAAGCTTTATTTTCAGTTTACCCCACAATATGCCCCAAAGTCTAACAATAATCACAAAATTATACTCTACTTTTTGAAACTGGTTAAGTTTGTCTTGTACTGGAATAAGCAGGTTCTAGTGAAGTCCATGGTACAGAAAAACCTGTAGATTTGCATTTTGCAATGGTTCAGTTCATGGCATTTCCAGCCACTGGGAGATGGATTGCATTTGCCTTTCCAAAGATGACCAGCATAAGCCAGTCCTCTAGAGTCCTCTGGCAGCCCATGGATAGAGACAACCGTACAAGATAGCTCAGGATCATTTGAAAGTCCCCTTTCTTTCCTCTGAGGATAGAGAGATCTAGTGATAATATATTTAAGAAAGAAAAAAAAGGTTATTGAGCAGAAGTAATTGTGGCCAGAGAAGAGAGAAGTGAGAATATGTGGGAGGAACACCTCTGCAGACACCAAGGTCAGTGGAGGAGGAACTCCTGGCACTGGAGCTGAGGATCTCCTGCAGCCTGTGGTTAAGACCATGGCTGCAGCCCATGATGATTAACAGGGTGCAGAGGTCCACCTGCAGCCCATGGAGGTTAGCAGGGTGCAGAGATCCACCTGTAGCCTGTGAGGAGACCCATGCTGGAGCAGGTAGATTCCCACAAAAGAGGCTGTGAACCCAGGGGGAACCCTTGCTGGAGCAGCTCCTGGCAGTGACCTGCAGACCTGAGGACAGAGGAGCTTACACTGGAGCAGAGTTCCTGGTAGGACTTGTGATCCTGTGGCAGGACTCGTGATCCTGTGGGGGACCTGCCTTGGAGCTGTTCCTCAGGGGTTGGACTGCAACCTGTGAAGAGTGAGCCACACTGCAGCAGTTTGTGGAGAACTGCCACTTGTGGGAAGGACTCATGTTGGAGAAGCTCATGGAGAGCTGTCTCCCATGGGAGGGACCCCATGCTGGAGCAGGGGAAGGTCTCCCTCTCCCTGACAGCAGTGGCAGAAACAACATGTGATGAACTGATGTAGCCCACTTCCCATCTCCCTGTGCCAATGGGAGAGAGGAGGTAGAGTTGGGAAGGAGGGAGGGGTGGGGGAACATGTTCTTAAGGTCTGTTTTATTTCCTCATTATCCTGCTCTGATCTTGTTAGTAATAAAATCACTACATTTCCCCAAGTTGAGTCTGTTTTGCCCATGATGGTATTCAGTGAATAATCCCTCCTGGTCCTTGTCTCAGCCCATTTTGTTATATTTCCTCTTCCCTGTCCATTTTGCAGAGGGGAGTGGGAGAGCAGCTTTGGTGGGTGCCTGGCATACAGGCAGGATCAACCCACTACAAAAGTTCTCCATAGTAAACTCAAACACTCAAGCACTGAGGCTTCCAAGAAGCATCAATGTTTAAACTGCTGATAGAGACATTTGTGGATTGACAAAGTGCTACCTGGATCAATGAAGGCACTGCAGAGAAAATGGAAAGTAGAAAACAGCCATGACTGGCAGTCATGACAATGACAAGTGTAGAAAGTAACTTCTGAAAGTTATCCTTCCCCCCTGTTTAAGAAAAGGTATTCAGGAGACAGAAGGAACAGCTACATTGCTACCATTAAAAGGATGTAGCCCCCCCCTGTTTAAGAAAAGGTATTCAGGGGACAGAAGGAACAGCTACATCGCTACCATTAAAAGGATGAGGCTTCTAACAGCAAACCGAGACAATCTTAATCTGGAGTTTGACAGGAGCTGCTAAAATCCAGCTATTAAACTGGGTGCAATAAATCCCCAAAGTAATGGATGGTACACTGGGATTATATATGCTTGGAAATCCCCCAAAGGAAGGATGAATGTGCTGCTGGAATGTTCACTGGGAGACAGGAAATCTGCTGATTTCCTTTTTAGATCCAAGACATTCTGCACAATCTAAGTGGGCATGAGATTGCCTTGCACCTTAGTAAAACAGTAGCAACATGACTTGCCTATCTCACCTGCCTTGCAAATATTATAATGTTGTGAGACACAGCCATAAGACATGTGAACAAGTGAATCCACAGTTCTTCTATTGTCCCTGAGTTCATAAACCACTTTATTCTTTACTCCTACAACCATTTTACCCAGTTAAAATGGCATCCTGCTACCCATCTCATCCTCACTTTGTGCAATATGAAATATCAACTAATTAATATTCAACATGATATGAAGAAGTCAATGGACTGGACAGAATACCAGAAGAGAATAAGAAGGGCAGAGGGGGAAAAATATGGAGAAAATGTTAGCAAAGCACAGGCAAGAAAACCATGGGAAGAAAGGGACTTCTTAATCAAGAAGTCAAGACCTTACAGAGGAAGAGTAAATTAGAGAATTCATGCCTACAGCTCTCCACATTTGTTTTTCAAAACAAAACAATGTACACATACTTCCTTGGAACTCAGATATAAATGTTAGCAGCAATATTGATCCAATTCAAAATATTTAGCTCCCTTGTATAATATCCACTTGTAAACTAATCAGAAGGCATTTATTTCTTCACTATTACAGAATCTAAATTGTATATCAATGTATAATCAATATTTTCGAGCCATAATATTTTCCTTGATCATATACCTTAACCTTCCTCCACACAGTTACCTGTTCAATTAGTACTCTGCCTCTCAAATATCATGCTCACACCCATCAGTCAGGCTCAGTAACACATTTACTTTTCTAACTATCCCTCTGAGCAAACTGGTTTATTCTTTCTAGCATTCTTTCCCCTTGAGCCTCCTTTTCTCCAGGCTGAACACCCCCAGCTCCCTCAGCCCATCCTCATAGGATTTGTGCTCCAGACTCCTCACCAGCTCTGGACACACTCCAGGACCTCAGGGTCTTTCTTGGAGTGAGGGGCCAAAAACTCAACACAGGACTTGAGGTGTGGCCTCACTGGTGCCCAATACAGGGGGAAAATCACTGCCCTGGTCCTGCTGGCCACACTACTGATGATACAACAGGCAACATCAAACCACTATTCGCTAGATCTGATGTAAGTGCTTATTTTGCCTTAGGTTAAAACAGTGGATTAAGTGCAGTTCTATTTGTTTGGGAACATTTTAGTTTGCGAAGAGCTTTGTGGCATCCAAGAGGGCACAATATTAACATGTCCAGGCATTCTGGATTCAGTCATATATATGTACATATAGACGGGTACTTCTATTAATTGCATCAAAATCTGTAGTTCTAATTCTTCCCCAAAGTTTTTAAGAACCTAAGAGCATTATGAGAATCTTCTGTTAGTAGTTTCAAGGAATGCTTTGCCCTTAGGGATAAGAATCCACTATTCATAAAACAGTTACATTATGCTCTCTTTCATCTGCCTTCAAGTTAATCAATTCTAATTGATTAATCAATATTTGTGCTCTCTTATACTAAATCCCCAGGTGCACGAGTGGCAATATGCCCAGAAATTGCTCCAACATATTTGTGAACAATATGTATAATTTATTACCTTTTAGAAAAGGGTCAAGACCCATTTTAAATCTTCACTACAAGCATTAGCAGGGTAAAGCTCTCCAACATAAAATTTCCCTGAAAGAGAACAGATGATCTAACACTGCTTGTGAATTTTTGCAAAAGAAAGGCCTCAAACTTTAAGGGCAAGCACAGCTTTGATGGTACCAGTCCCTACAGCCACCCTGTTACTCTGATAATAGGTTCATCAGGTTTTTTAACTGCTGCCCTATGGCCTCTAACAGCCAAACCACATAGCCTGTTGTTAATCAGCCCCAGCCAATTCTCCTCTTAAGAGACAAAACCAAAAGAACAACAATGCATTGCAAAAAGGAAGTGTAGAAGGTTGTATTGGCCACTGGATGAGCTGCTGCTGCTATTCCTCCTGGAGATACAATTTCTGTTAGACTGAACAGAGAGAAACTTCAACAATAGTGACTTAGGGCTTATCCTCATTAAGAGCTAAAGATATTTGGTCATCATTGTGTTTCCTCCTTGCACAAAGTGAAAGTGAAGGGGAAAGAGAGCATGCAGTTTGATTCCACTGCTAGTAACCTCCAGCATCCGGAGCACAAAGGAGAAGGTTTGGTCTGGCACACCATGGCAATCCTGGGAGAAGCAATATTATGGTTTCTGGCAATGAGGTGGCAGGCAAATGAGAAGAACAATAAATAATACTCTGGTCTAAGAGCAGGTGGTTTTTCTGGGACAAAGAACAGGAAGAGATGCTTTAGATGATGAATGAGTTAATCTAATACAGGTTAGATGAATAGCATAGGGAGAATTAATTCACTCTTCCACACGGTTCTGCTCCTGGAATTTCTCTTGATTCTTTCCTGATCTGGTTTTCTAAAAAATAGCCCAGAACCTCTGGAAAAACCTCTTTCCTTCATCTTCATGTTTCAATCCACATTCTTCTCTTCAAGGCATTTTTTCTGTACTGGTACACACTAGCTAGAACTGATACTGAGTAACAGCAACTAGATGGGACCCAGAAAGGCAGAAAGATTGCTAAGACATCAATTCTTTAAAAACACCTTTCATTTAAGGGAGCTAGCTCAGGACTGCCTTGCTGAACTCACAATTCCTTAACCAGTCCAACCCTCATCAATCTACAGAGTTACTGGAAGTCTCGAGAAAATTCAAGTAACTTCACAGACTTTAAGGCATTTCTAAGAGTTGGTCTTTAAAACACAGAGTGCTGCTCAGGGAGATGTACCAGAACTGGTGTTCCTCTACACTACTATATTTTCAACCACAGCCAATATGTGAAATATTGATATTTATGAATACTTCTGTGTAACTTTACCTATTTGATATTCAAAAACTGGACAAGGTAAATGCAGACTCAAGACAGTGTTGGGTGTGTTTAACAAGTCCTAAATTGTGTCTTAGTCTGAAGGTTATCATCTTCTCCTCTCTCATTTACCCTCACACTCAAATGGTTCTGCTGTTTTTTAATTTTATGTGATGGCTCTTGTCTGTTCAGATGGACTCTCCAATTAACATGCTGAGTGGTACTGTAAGGCACCTCCCAACTACTGCCACTTCTCCTCCTGCTTTAATTACACCCTTATCTTATCCTTCCACTCAAATTAGAACATAGTGTGTGAGGGTGGGATAAAGTTTTAGGGAAATGTGGACTCCACTGAGCATCATGTACTGAGGGCAGTTCTGAGACATGTTGTTATTCTGTATTTGAGAATGCTGTTTGACACCCTGTGTGTTATTCTGTATTTGAGAATGCTGTTTGACAACCTGCAAAAAGGCCATCGGGGAAAAGCCATTAAGCCCTTTACAGTGTCTCTTCCCCTCTAACTGACCTCTAAAACAATGATTTTCATATACAGAACTTCAGCAGAAAGAGGCTGTTCAATGCAAGGGAAAAAAAAGGCAAAAAACCAGTGGGAGTGGGAGATGTGATCAACACAAAGCTTGACTTTTGTTCCAGAGACTGGAGCTTTAGCAGCTGAAGATATTATCTCTCCCCAAGATGAATGAGTTTTTTTGCTAATACACCACTGCAAACTGCTGCAGTTGGCACCACATGCACTTGTGCTGCAGGGTGGAGAGGCAGAGGTGGCACAGGAACATTTAAATTACTGCAACTACAGTGGCAGAGCCCTTGAGTCACTGCCTAGAAGCAGAACAAGAAGGAGGAGTGGGAGAAGTCCCCTGAGGACTACAGATCCTGGCTCCACAGAAGGAGCAAGCCAGACTTAAGAAGGCTTCATTTTAATACCCTTGCTGTCTTCAGGGCTCCGTAGCTTTACAGTATCTTTTATGAGTAAAATTATTATAATTAAAAACTCCTTTACAAAAATTATCTTGTTCAACTTTCCAGAATGCTGTCTGTAAAGGATTTCAAGCAGGAGGAAGCATTCTTAATCCACTGCATAATCTGAGCAAAGTGGGGGGGTAAACAAGACTTAGGAGATCCCAGGAGCAGATTTCAAGGCTTTGGATTGCAGAGCTCAACAAAGGGACAACTCAGCTAAGAAGTCTTCTGCTAAACACCTGGAGCAGACTGTAGGAACCCTTAGCAATCACAAGTAACTGACTCAGAAGCAAAAACTAAACAAATAGAGTTCAAAACATCAGTATTGAAACAGCAAGCACAGTCCTGAGAAGCCTTTCACAAAGGAAGTAATCCCTCAATATTTCTTGGAAGAGTCTATCAAGTGGCCACACTGGAACTTAAACTTAATGTTCTACACCTACACAACATTACAATATAGCTGATATGAAGCCACCAGATCCCTGCACACCAAGTGGCTGATGACTATTTAGACAGAAGATCTAGTTCTTACTGTAAAGGAAAGCAGATCCCACCCAGAGGATTGATACTATAAGCACTGCTACCATCACAGCAGGTTCTAGGAACATACAATAATCCACTGGGCCACAGAACTCTTAAGAGGGAAATACTCAGAGACTAACCAAGAGGGATCTGACAAAATGCCATTAGTTAATGGAATGATGGTCCAGCCAAGTGGAAGCCAGGACACAGCAACAATAAGGAAAATACACAATAAAACCATTTCACATCCAGGTCAGACACCCACAAACCACTTTGTATCCCTGAAGTTATTCAGGAAAATAATTCGGGAGCAGAAGGGGTAAATGTTTGCATGACTTTAGCTTGAACAAGTATAGTGGAACAGCTGATTAAGTACCTATTAGACATCATGAGGGAGGGAGTTAGTAAATCTTCTGAGTCAGGATCCCTAGTGTCCCATGAATGCACACGTATTAGCACCTACATTAGACTTTTGATGCCCTCCTACAACACCAGCTCCAGGGTTCTGCAAAGCTGGGGGTCTGTGGCTCACTGCTCCTCAGGGCCACTCTGGGAACAGGTACCCAGGGTCAGGCTCAGCCTTTGTGCAGGCAAAAGCAAGAGCAGGAAAGCTGCAGCACAAATTAACGTGTGTTCTCTGTAATAGCACCTGCCTTCCACACAGAGCTGCAGACTGGTCTTTCCATTAGCTCCCTCCTAAATCACATTTTAAACTTGTCTGTTCTCATGCTTAAAACTCTGCATAATTATTTCCCATTCCCCCGTGCTCCCTCCCCTGACAGCACTGAATCAATTCTCTTGAGAAAGCATTTGGTGTGCTGTGAGTCACCCCAGCATGCATGTTTTGATGGATACAGTCACCTTTTCCCTTAAACAATCCTATGCTTTTTTGGGTTTGGGAGCATTATCACCTTTGCTGATCCAGATCACTCACTCAAAGCATTTAAGCTTTCTGAAAACCCCATAATCGTTTTTATAGGCAACAGAAGGAAATTATCTGCAGCATTCTTATGGTATCTGTGTTAAGTGAAATAATAACATAAACACCTCACTATTGCCTTTCTCTTTGCCCCCATTTCATAACTTTCTTGTTTGATTACATCTATAGCTAAACCATAGGTTTTGGGGGTAATTTTTGGTTTAGATGGAGAACTCAGCACCTTATAGATGACAAAAAGTAATTCGTAGGAACAACTTCAACGTTCCAGTTAACTGATGTGTTTATATAAACATCATATATAAACATTTATCATACATAAACATTTACATAAACATCAATCTACAGCAAGAAGATTTAGAATAAGAAAATTAGAAAATCCAATGCTTTACAATCATATTCATGCACAGGTTCACATTCATGTGCTTCAGGATAATAACTGATGGCAGTGAAGAAAAGACTCTATAGATGATGGATCAGTTAGAAAAATGGTGTTTCTGGAATTTATGAAATGGTCAAGAAAGCATATGTAGAGCTCACAAAAGACAAATCTGTTCATTTCTGTTCAAAAGCTCCAGAGAATTAATTTAGTAGCCCTGCTAAATACAGTTAATTAGAAGGAATTCCTTACCGGGTCTAGGTTCTTAAAAAGAAGAATCTCCTTGCATGCCTCCTGCAGTCTGTTTCTTTGATCATCTGTTTTGGGGTGAATAATCTGAGGGATATAATACAAAAGCCCTTAAAGTGCTTATCATATAGCAACACTAGCTGAAGGACTGAGCTAATTCAGCTAAGCATTTTACACAATATTTTGGGCCATGCTTCATAACCCTCTAATTTCAAAACCTTCAGGACTTGAATAAACACTCAATGATAACGTTTTATCACCACAGCATTAGCCAATGAAACACTCCCGTATTTAAAGCTCACCAGATCTTTAGATCTGCAAAATCCAGTTTATTTCCACAAGCCATTCTGGATACCTTTATCTGTTGCTATATAAACATTACTCTACTACTCTCTAACCATATTTGGGGCATGCATGCTTTATAAAAAGCACCACTGTTACATTCAGCCATTTGCCATGACTACTTCCTATAGAGTGTTTTGTGAAATAGTATCTGTGTTAAATTTATATCAGAAATTTCACAGAGTAAACAACAGACTTAACACTAGCTGAGTGTGCCAGAGATTTACTAAATTACCAATGTCTGGTTCATGTCAATCAAGCTGTTCAACTCATATGCTTCAAAAGAGATGCTAGGTATAGCTGTGATACTATAGGGTAACCTTCCTGACAGTGTCACAAGCCAAAAATTAGGTAGAACACACACAATAAAACTTCTCTTGAAAGTCATACTTTTGCTATTTCATCTTAAAAGCTAATTAAATACCTTTAAAAGGGTGACATAAGTCAAAGAAATAAATACAGTTAGTTATTGCATTGTGTATCTAAAAATCTTAGTGACTTTATAGTTTACCGTTTTTCTGCCTTATGAAAAATACTAGAATATTGAGGAAACTACTACAAGATTATGAGGACACCAAATAAGTGGTTTTTTAGGAGAAGGCACCCTCTGGGTAGATACAATTGCATACAAATGTTTCCTTAATCAGGTTTGGCAATTTAGAATATACATCAGGTCCTACACGGGTGACTATTACAGAGGATTTTTAAACGTTTCTTCAACATGAAAGCCCAAGAGATTACTAAAGTATACTCTAACAAAGATGTTTTGGGGAAATAATGGTAATGCTGGTTACAGTTTTCTTCCTAAATTTAGTAACTGAGAATTGAAAAAGTAAGAATTGCACTCAAAGCATTAAGTACCCTAGATTCTGCGTCGTCCTCTTCCTCGTCTGGATTGTAAGCTTCTGCACACACTGAAATAAAAAAAAAAGGTATAATTTTAAGTCAAATTACAGTAATGTTTCACAAGATTTACAGAGCAGAAAATGCATTGTGTGACACACACAATGGAGAAGATACTGCTGAGAGGGTCAACTCCAAACTGCCAGTGGAACAAAGCTACACTTGTAGAATTTTTGGACATGTTTTCCCTGTTTTGAAAGTCCTCTAATGTACTTATAAATTTCTCAACTAACCTATTCTTAGTGATCTTACCATACTATCAGAATTTTTTTCTGATGTCTAAAATTAATTCTTTATTGTTAGAATTTAAGCTATCCATGTAGGATGCAGAGGTCAGATCATTCCCTTTTATCTGTATAGCTTCGAGGTGCTTTGGGGTGTGTTTATTTGGTTGGTTGGTTGGCTTAAGGTGTTTTGCTGGGGTTTTGTTGGCATACTTGGAAACGGTTGGTTGGTTGGCTTAAGGTGTTTTGTTGGGGTTTTTTTTGGCATACTTGGAAAATTCTCACTCCTACCTACCTTTTACTTTTTAGACTAAATAATTCTAGTTCTTCATTATTTTTTTTGTTTACAGGTCACATTTTCCAGCTAACTACCCTTACTGCCATTCCCTGAACTCTGGAGCCAGGATTTGAACTGAGCAGAGTACTGAGCACAACGGATTAATTACTCCATACATTTTGCAGGCTGTATGCCTTTTTCACCCATCCATCCATGCCTTCTTTACAACAGCTTGATTATGTTTACTCATGTAATATTTATAACACATATCTTTTTCAAAACCCACTGCTTAACCAGCTGTCCTGTGCCTGTATATGGCTGTTCTGCCCAAGTGTAGTATCATGCACTTACACCTATTAAATATCACTTTATCCCCAAAGAAATTTTGAGATCATTTTCAATTCCCAAGCAACTTCCATTATGACACTGCTTGATGTTCCCTAGCTTGTTGCTTGTTTGTGGGGGAGTCTTGTGAGACAGCATTCAGAAGTTTCTTAGAATGAAAATGTAGGACATCTGCTCCTTTTCTTTAATCCACAAGTTTTAGTTTCTTGTTACAGGGTAGTGGATAGTTCCAACAAACCCATGCTGATTGCTCTTTGTTGCTTTCCTCCAGGCATTTACAAAATGAATATTTGTTTGAAATTTTTCTAGGAACAAAAATGATCTGTAAATCTCTGGCAGGTCTCTTCCCTCCACAGCTCCCCCATCCTTTTAAGGATGAGGGTTTTTTTCTATCTTTCTGGGGTTTTTTTTCCTCATTTTTCTTCTTCAGATTCTCAATGATAATTACCAACAGGGCTAAGACTAATTTAGCCAACTCTTCCAGTTTCCAAGCATAGCAAGTCTGAGGCACAGCTAGCCTAGTGGGAACACCTAACACAATAAGTACTGTCTGATTTGTCCCTTCTATGTTCCAGGCTGCTTTCCATAGACACTAGTGGAGACTGATGTGCTTCTGCAAAGCAGTAGAGCAACACTTTGCTGGAACATGCTCTTCACAGAAAGATACTTCCAGAACAATTTCTGTTACTCCTCCTGTTCTTACTTGTACACAATCTTTTCTTGTTCATATTTTTTGGCCTTAGCTTCTTTGATGTGGCTTTTTTTCCTCTACATCTTTTGCTATTCTTTTGTACTCGTTCTGAATAATCCAAACTAGTTTTAATTCTGTACATGGTTCCTTCTTGTGCTTGATATAAACAAGGTGTTTGTATTTTAGACAGATTTATTTTATTTGCTTTTTATCCTTCTCCTGTGCTGTCTCAATCTGCATTTTTTTCTCTACATTTTTTTTCTCTGAGGAACAAATAATTCTTTAGCTTCTTTTCTCCAGACTCCTTTACAAACAGATTATGCCCAGTCCTCTTGTATCCTGCTCAAACCTGTTGTTATTTTACCTCTTTCCCCTCCTGCAAACTGTGAGTCCTGTCATTGCAGGGGAATTCTCACTCAACCTGCCTTTTTTTCTGCCTATTCTTGAACAGTTTCTCCCTTAGAGCTGGTATCACATACAATAGCTTCCCCTTTTCCCACATCTCAAAATCTGGCTGTAAATGCATTGCAAAACACGTTGGGTGGTTGGTATTCTTCTTTACTGGCTTGACTGATTAATTAAAATCCTCCATTATCACCATCCCCAGTCCTCTGACAATAAAAATCCCAACCTCCCTGCTCTGTTTGGTGGTCTGTGCAATGCCTGCAGAACAATGAAGCCCATGAGCTTTCCCCTGCTAATATTACTCACAGAGCATTGGTGTGCCCAACTCCCTCTGCAGCTGGGTCACAGCCCAAGCATCTGAACCAAAATATAAAACAGCCTCTTCCTCCTTTCTGTCCTCCCACCATGTCTTTGCTATGCCACTTCAGTCACAGTGTTGCTTGTGGCTTAAGACTTGGTGTCCTCCTGTTTATCCACCATACTTCCTATATTATTATACAGCTTCTGAAGTAGTGACCGGAGAGACCCATTAACCTCCTCATTACCTTGCCCAATTAAGATGATTTCATGGTAAAGCACATCATTGCAAAGTCCCAAAGGAAGTCATGGTCCTCGTTGTATCAGGCACTCAGCTAAAACATCAGCTTTACAAAACTTGGCATCTTCAAAAACTTACAGAAATTTGACACAAGTCCCTCTGGAACTGGCTGAAAGATTCCTATCCAGTTTACTAGGGACTGGATTTGGTCCCAAATAATTACAAATGCCCACAAAAGGAAATCTGCAATCTCTTGAACTATAATATTTTACCTCTACATAAACAAAATGTTCCTACCGACTGTTTAATGCTACTAGAGTTACTAAAATCTTGTCAGAAATAAACTTTAGGGGATTTTATTTAAATAGCAACAGTACCAACATGCCAAGTAAGCACCATATAACCCACTATAATTTAAATCACTGCTTTGTTTCAGCTGGTATCAGCCTCTGTGCCCTGGAGCACGTATGGATACACGGGAGGAGAGTTCCAGAAAAAGAATATGTTCCTGAGGTGTTCTGTATCACTGCTCTGACATCACTCTTCTCTGCTAGAAACTCATTTCAGTCAGTCTCATTAACTACTAGCATTAAGTACTTCTTTATCCCTGATTATGGACAATATATTTAAGACCTGGCGTTTCTCCTGGCGAGTGCCCATATACCCAAATTCTAAAAGGATTTATTCTTGTCATCTGTGATGAGAAACGTACTCTTCTGGTTAGAAATCTGTAGTTACTTTGGCTTATCTTTTTGCCATAATCAGGGATGCATCTTCAGTTTGGGTCACAACTTAAAGATTATACCAATGCTGTGGATCTGCTGGTTTAAATATGAAATTTTCTTTCCTTCATTGATTATTTCAGTAACACCTTCATTTCTAAGTGCACACCACTAGATGTCTCATGGAAAAACCTGATACATTTTATTTTGGTTCTTAAAATGTAGTCTCTGACATTACTATCATCTGCTGAATTTCATGACATGAACACTGGGGTTTGGCACATGAGAATTCCACTGACATAAACCATCCAAACCCAAGTGAGATGTCTCTTACATACACAATCCATATATGCACAAGTCACCTGGATTCCAATTACAGTCAATGGAGAGAAACTGGCACATTTATGAAATGATACATCTGACCTGTATTACATGTCCAGACCAAGATGAGCAATTAAAAATGTGACTAACTGGCTGAGATAAATCCTATGCCTCGAGATGGATCCTGTCCTGGTTCTGGCCAGGTTGTCCTTAGCTCAACCTGTCATCTGTAACTTTTGTGCCTCCAATTCCCTCCATCCCACCCAGTCTGGGGGTTTTCAGTGGGAACACTAAATCAGGGGATATCACTCCTAAACCATGACAATCCTAGTAGTTATAATGAGCTGCAAGACTGGTTTCCCCCACTTCTCCATTTAGCATATATTTCCTGGGAAACAATTTCATCACCTGATGATGATGACCTTCTCCATTTATATTTCCTGGGAAACAATTTCATCATCATCTGATGATGATGATGGGTCGCTCACGTACACTCATTCCAAGGAGACAGTCTGTGGTCCCCATCTCTCTTGTCTAAGGCTTGATTGCCACCACAGATATTAATTCTTCTGAACCATTGCACTGCTGGTGGCTGCAATACTCACAGTGTTCACTACTTTCTTTTTCTACCTTATATTTCCTGGGAAACAATTTCATCATCATCTGATGATGATGATGGGTCGCTCACGTACACTCATTCCAAGGAGACAGTCTGTGGTCCCCATCTCTCTTGTCTAAGGCTTGATTGCCACCACAGATATTAATTCTTCTGAACCATTGCACTGCTGGTGGCTGCAATACTCACAGTGTTCACTACTTTCTTTTTCTACCTATCTATGGTGACTTTATCATGCTCAAATGCCCTGCCATGTTTTGCCATGTGTCACTAATGAATGCAATACTCACATCACTGCTCAAAAAACAGTCCTAAATACTGTTCTTAGGGACCTATTTCATCCCATGCATAATTATGGCATTGACAAAGAGTGATACAAACACTGTTCATATTTCTCCATGGCTTATTTCAGCTATGTGAAACTATTTTTATTCAGTTTTTTTCAGCTGAGGGTTGTGTTTCACATACAGTTCCTCAAGATGAACACAAACACAAACAAGCCCAAATACATGAACACAAAGTATTTGTAGGAAAAACGTGAACTGTCATAAGGCACTGCATTATGAAAACACACATGCACTGAAATCTGCACACAACTCTGTGTGGATTGCTTTGTCAGCAAGAAGAGCTAAGCTTTTACAATTTCTAACTCATCACTCCAAGTAAAGTCAATTTTCTGGTTTACAGCTAGTAAGTATGTTTTATCTTCAAAATCAGCAGTAAGTCACGTCAGTCGTGAATGAATTCTAAAATGAAAAGTAAGATACAGGTAGTAATTGTACAATCACAAAACATGTTAGTCATGCTCCCTCTATGCCTTTGATGTATCAGGAAATAAGCTATCAATAAAGGAATGAATGAAAATAATAATT